TGTTATTTTTCTTCTTCATTGGTATTGTGCTAGACTGGACTTTTGTAATCTCATTTTTTAAAATTTCCCAAGCTTTTTGAGTTGTTTTCCCCTTGAGGATTCTCATTAATTAAAATTAATTTATTGTAACCTAACAGTTGTTTTGATGTGGGAGAGTTTCTTCGGAAATTGACTTAAATTTCTAAAGCAGAAAATACAGGATAATTATATTACTCCATATGAATTATCGGAGTCAAATCAGGGTAATTATCTTACTTTGTATCAAAATAAATGATATTTATCTGAAGTCAGTAACAATTTTTTCCTTCTTACGTTTTTATCAATCCATTGTAGACATTGCACCAATAGGAAATAAACTGTTTTTGTTATATATTTTTATTGTTAAACAGTGTAATACAAAAAAAAACTAAATTAAATAAATAATTTTGTTTTGTAATAAAACAAAAAATACTAAGCATATTTTTCTCTATAAAAACCATATTGCAATATCTAATTTGCCTTTTTCTAAAATGGGTGGTATATAAGGAAATTTGATTAGAGTCATATAACGACACAGACATTTGATCAGTTTTACATAACTATTTCATCATAATAATTTTGTTTATTATTTGTGAAATATTTTCTTTTCCAAAAGCTTTTCCCATTGTTATACATTAATTCTTCGAAGCTTTGTATCCATATTGTCTTACAATCTTTGATTTGTTCCAGCTCTATTCCATACTTTGTATGTCTTTCAGTATGTTATTTATGTTTTGTCCTGATTCATCCTTGGTTTTGTATAATTTTTTCAAATTTTGTCACCTTTGTCAAAGTTCTGCTTTCTTTTTTTAAACCGCTTTCTAATTTTTTAGCAATTTGCATGTAGTTTGCAAGATTCTTGTTGAATCTTTAGTGTGTTTCCTGAATCTGGATCCAATATGTTGACTTAAAAGCTTAAATGTGAAAAAACTCTTTTTAAAGAATATGTTCTTGTTTGGGGAAAGGATCCAATATGTTGACTTAAAAGCTTAAATGTGAAAAAACTCTTTTTAAA